ACAAAAACAAAAAAAAAAAACAAAAAAGAAAAGGTAGAATAGAATAATTTGACTTCTATACAAGAACTATTCGATTCATACGTTGTTCTTTTCTCAAATTTGATCATCAAGGGTATATATGTTTATTTTCCTTTTAGATGAAAGATCAACATCAATGACCAATGTTTCGATCAAGGTTTAACCCAACTCGTTTTCAAACATATCATGGTCAAGCTATGTATTAGTGTCTAGGCTGTTGAACAAAATGAGACAACTCGGTTTGTTAAGGCTCGACTAGACTTGACTCTACTCATTTGATAAACAAACTAAGTTCGAGCTTGTTTAAGGCTTGAAAAATTAAAGGGCTTTGCACATATTTTTTTTTAACTTTTAACATGGCTTTAATCAAACTAGTGCAAACTCATTTAGTCGGATTGTTAACCTATTTGAACAAAGCTCGGTTCGGTAAGGGCCAAGCTCGAGCTCGAGTATTTAGAGTTTGAGTTGGCTCGATAAGAGCCAAGCTCGCTTACGTAATGATTTTTATTTTTAATGCTCTTTCTTTCTACACTATAACCGGTGACTTTAGAAATAATATATGGCTCGTTCTTCTTAAACCTCTTACGATATAGGTAGCTTCAAATCATTTCACTGGGCCATATACCAAATTTTTTTGTCTGCCCCAAAACTTGAATACAAGTTCTTGTATGAGGTAGCCTAACCGTTAGGCAAGTCAAACTGTCATACTTTATAAACATAAATGTATAGTTATACAATGAACCAGAGTGGAGAGATCCAGATGATATGGAATACTATAGTTGACCCGAGAGACGGATTAACTGGAATGGATGCACCACTAGGTCGGTGGAGGTCGAAAATGACATCATCAGAATGGATTACCAACAGGTCGAGCTAAGGCCCTTGGAAGGCCTGTGGGGAGCTCAACCTGAGGGCATTGTAGGTCGATGGATCGACCTAGAGGATAAAGCACGAGCTCACAGAAGACAACATTCTACCTCGAGATAAGCATAATCAGTCGCATGATTAGACCGTCTGATAAAGAAGACTAAGAGATAAAAAACAATATTGTCTTCATACCCAAACATCGGCTGGTTTTTTAGTTTCTAAACAAGGCCTGTAATTTGCCTGTACAGTTCATACCCAAAATGGACTCTAACTTCAATATCTACCCTCCATTTCAATCTCAATTAGTAAAGGCTTGATGCTTGGATACCATTTTAAGCTAACTAAGCCTTTGTAATGCATTGTTTGGCCGATATGAACTTGTTGGCCGGCCAAGTGGTGTTGCTGGAATTGAATCAATAACTGATATATCACTTAGTGAGGTTGGTCCCTTGTCAAATTTTGATTATGAGGCAACGATAAGAGTGACCTAAGCTTGTATGAAAACTGACATTTCATTGTTTGATTCTATTTCGGTGGAGATGATACACACGACGATACCATTCGATAGAGGTCCCTACAGTTTGCAAAATAAATTAGTTATGGTCCTGTAGTTCATAAAAAAAACTGAGCTGTGAAAAAAGATGGTCATATGGTTCACAAAAGAACGTAGTTAATATATATGGTCCATAGTTCTTCAAAGAAATCAATTAGAAAAAAAAAATAAAAAAAAAAATATGCATATAATCAGTATCTCAGGAAAATGTAGAAATGAACAATCTGATTTTTATACAAGAGCTAACTGATTCATACGCTATTCTTTTCTCATATTTGATCAATTACTACTCATCAAGGGTATATTTGTTAAGTTCCTTTTTTGATGCAAGATCAGTGACCAGTCTTTAGAATCATGGTTTTATGCCAACTCATTTTCAAGCATGTCATGGTCAAGCTATGTATGGGAGTACGGTTGTTATCGAACCAAGTTGGGCTTAATGTTTTCAAGCTCGAGTTCAGCTGATTTTTGAACATGTTGGTGTTCGTTCATTTAGTAATCGAACAAAAAATTCCGTTCATGTTCGTTCGTTTATTTGTTCGACACGTTCGTGTTCGTTCGTTCATTTGTTCGACACGTTCGTGTTCGTTCGTTCATTTGTTCGACACGTTCGTGTTCGTTCGTTTATATAGTCGAACTTGATCGTGACTTGTTCCAATTGTTGAAATTGTTCGACAAGTTTGTGTTCGTGTTTCTGTTTGTTGACTTATTTTATTTTAATACTATACAAGTTATTATATTTAATATATACCATATCATTATTATATTATATATGTATGTACTATATATATATATTATAAAATACTTTTTGTTCACGAATGCTTGATTAGTTCGTGAACTTGTTCGAGTTCGTTCGATAACTAAATGAGCATAATTTCATGTTCGAATTCAGATTGATTACTAAACGTGCGAGTTGTTATCGAGCACGAACGAACTTTGTTCGCGAATAGTTCGGTTCGATAACAGCCATATATGGGAGTGTGGCTAGATTGTTAAAGGTGATGAGTCATCTCAACTTATTAAGGCTTGATTCGACTCATTTGATAAACAAGCTAACTTTGAATTTGTTTAAAGCGTATGAATCAGATTATTTAAACAGGTTTTTGCATCTTTTTTTTATCTTACCGCATGGCCTTAATGAGTCTAGCTCGAACTCATTAGGTCTGATCATTAACTTACTTCAACAAAGCTCGGTTCGATAAGAACCACGCCCGAGCTCGACTATCAAGAGCTCGAGTCGACTCGATGAGGGCCAAACCTGTTTACTCATAGCATCCACGATGTTTTGAGTTCAATAAAAAAATATACATGTCATGTAGGAAATAGACACAGTTTAGAAAAATATATACACCAATGCAAGTATAAGTAGACTGAGCCTTGCTGATGTGACAACAAAAAAAAAACTGACTCGATCTATCCTTAATTCTATTTTAGACTCAAATTGAGACCTAGGTTTTTTGCATTGAAGTTAATTTTGTTACTTTTATATATTTTTGTTCATGGCGTTTAAGGCTTAGGTCTATTTACATGCTACGTAGGCAAAATTATACCTACAACATTGGAGGTGCTCTTAATGTTTTTATGTTTAAGGCCCTTTCTTTTAACACTTTAATAGGTGATCTTTGGAATAATGATCTGCTCGCCCTTCCTAAACTTTTTGCAATATAGGTAATGTCCAATCATTTCACTTAGCCAAATACCAAATTCCTCTTCTTGCCCCAAAACCCGAATATAAGTTCTTGTTTGATGCAGTTTAATTGTTAGGAGAGTTATAAACAAAAATTCATACTTATACTATCAAGAGTAAATTGCAATTTTAGTCGTGTATGTTACGCTATACTAACTTTTTCGTCCTCTTCGAATTTTTTTCTGATTGGCGTCCGGTATGTTTGCAAAATGGTTAGAAACATGTCATATTCATACATAAGTGACGAAATTGGAACTTTTTTTTGCAAAACATAAATGACCTTATTTGTGCGAAAAGGACATTTTTGTATTTTTTTTGCAAACATGCGAAACGAAAATTAAAATGGCATTCGAAGAAGACGAAAAAGTTATGACAGTAAAACATAAGTGACTGAAATTTTAATTTTATCTACTATCAAATATCTTATTTCGTGATACTTTTATTTATGATGTTTTTTAATGTATACATTTCCTATACCAGAGGCCCTTGTTTGTTATTCTTCGCTCGATGGGGGCGATGGGAGGGAGGGAGGGAGGGAGAGAGAGAGAGAGAGAGAGAGAGAGAGAGAGAGAGAGAGAGATAGAGAGAGAGATGGGAATTCTATCGACTAATTTACTGGCCAACGCCAAATCCAAAATCAAGCATCTCCCGTCAACCTTGTATTCGACTGCGCCTCATGTTAAATCTCAGGCACATTTGTCACGGGGTTTTGCGGTGGATCCCAACAACAAGAACAACAACGACGACAAGATCTGGTTTGTGTTAACGTACTTTGTCAAGGATATCAGGTATACTTCCGTAATTTCTGCTGAAACCTCGTGGAAAGTAGATGAACTCCACTCGAATAACTTCATTATGTTCACGCCAAAAATAATTTAACCTGTTAACGCATTGGGTTGTAATTATGATATTGCCTCCAGTATCGACGATCTGATGTTGGTATGCAACTGGGACGCACAATGGTTAAGGAAACATGATATTCTTTGGAACCCCACCAGCCAAGAGATAAAGATCATTCCTCCTTCCCCCAACTGGATATGTTATTTGGCTTGGGGTTTGATCCCGCCAAGCCTTGGGGCTATAAGATTCTGAGGGCTTGATTGTTTATGAAATAATTTGTTCAAATTGAGTTATTTTGGTTAACTATAGTTAATTTTGAAAAAGGTGGTATGGTTAGTTGTAGTGGAATTTTAAGAATGTATTAAAATAATATTTAAAATAATTAAAATTGATTTGATGTAAAAGTAAGAGATAAATGATTGGAAATGATTGGAAATGATTGGTAGTTAAAATTATGTGAGTGGATGAATAGTGAATTAAAGTTGATGTGATGTGTAAGAATGATTGGTTTGTATTATTTAATTATATGAATAATATTAAAGATAGTGGAGTTGAGTTAAAGTTGAGTTAGATTTTGAGTTGAAATAAAAGTGAGTAAATTATTTTGTAAACAATCACCCCCTCAATATTCTCATAGACTACTGTGATTTCAAATCTCCTTCGGAGTTCAGAGGCTCAGAGCCGAACTGTACTCACTCAAAACCGGTTGTTGGAGGAAATCAAATATCCTTACCAGCAGAAGGGCATACCTACTAGCCGAGGCGTTCGTATAGGCGGCTCTTATTATTGGGGACTAAGGCCTCATTCAATCTTCTCGTTCGACTTTGCCAGTGAAAAGTTCTCGCATCTCTTACTACCTTTGCCGGACAAGATTAGATTTAAAAAATCCAAATATCGTCTTATTGAGTTTGATGGCTCGCTCGCTATTCTTGTTACGACGGATGTCTCGAATAATTCCCAAGTGGCTTATTCCACTTTCGAAATTTGGGTGTGGAATGATGAGTCGTGGTATCTAAAGTCTGAATTCGAGATCCCTGTTGCTGTTGATCATGTTGTGCACGTCTTTGAGAATAATAAGTTGTTTGTCCAGGACATCACAGGCAGGGTGTTGCTTTTCGATGTTGAGGATCCGTGGATCTGGGCATCTGTGCTGATTCTAAGGCAGTTTGGATTATGCCTTATGTCGAGAGCTCTGTTCGCTCAATGAATCATAACTATTTTCCTGAATGAAGAATAAGATGGTGAGAGTAGTGGCTAATGAACGGTCCCAACGCTCTGTCTATTGTGTTTAT